TTCAGCAGTATCTGGCCTCTTCTGCTCCACTGCCCCAAACTGCTCACCAGCCCTTCTCTATGCTGTGTGTTCTTTTTCCTGGGGTACATTATAAATGCAGGCTTTCAGCAGCTCCCCATGAATAATCTGTACTTGCACAGCGTGTGCTTTGTTTTCTAGTGGGCCCAAGCGCTATGACTGGACTGGACGGAGTTGGGTGTATTCTCATGACAGAGTATCCCTTCATGAACTACTATCAAAAGAACTTTCAACAGCGTTAAAAACTAAGTTGGATTTGTCCTGCTTAATATATTCTGGGAAAGAAGATACTTGATCATATTCTACCTCATGAATTTAAAGACTTTAACCACAAGCCAAGCCCTTCCTTGTTTTCTGAAGTACCTGAGCTTAATTCTCTTGTTGTTTTTCTTGACATCACTGTTGTGCAACAAAAATGAAAATAATACATATTTCTCTAGTGCTCAGTCTTCGGGCTTCTGTGTCACTGCTTCAGTCTCTGCCCATGTAGTACAGGTGGATGAGGTCGCCCTTCATGTCTCTGCATTTCTTACTTTCTCACTGCAGAAGTAAGTCCTGAATTCTTACTGTCTATAGTCTTGTTTGGATGTAAGGACTGACCCACCTGGTGACTTCTGAGCAGCACATAAATACTAAACTTCTTTTGGTGAGACATTCACCCAAAAGAAGAAATGCCTGTCAGCTGCATTGACATAATTTTTTGTACTGTGAATGCATTGCAAGTGAGAAACACATCACATTTAGGCTGAACATGTCAGAAACAAAATGTCGCAATAGAAACTTCTCATTTTGTATAATGCATGTAAAAGAAGAGCTTTTCTCTTGGTACTGCTGAATTTTATCTATTCTCCAAATTCTAGTTTGTTTCACATTAGGTTTTGTGAAAGATTAGATTTTTGAAGGGGTTTTGGAGTTCCTATTTTTTTAAGCTAAACTTTAAATTACTTAGAGGTCTGTATGTTTGTAAGCATCATATGGAACTGTAAAGGCTGGTATGTCAAGTTTAAGCTGAGCTGCTGTATCTCTGCAAATTCATTCTGTGAATGTGCAAACTGGATTTCTCCTTCTGTTCCCTTTTGTTCTTCAGAGAGTAAAATTACATACTTTTTTTTTCTATTTAGGCAAAATTAAGATTCACAGTAGCAAAAATTTGCACTACTTTTGTTATGCATTTCTTAAATTTAAGATGAGATTATACTTTTTCACCATGATACAGCCAGGCTTCCCTCAGTACCATGCTGATCTGGAAACTTTGCCTTTTTGCTTCTTGTAATCAAATATGGTATTTAGACTGATGATGTGTTTTTCAAGCTGCTAAAAAATAAGGATGAAATAGATTATGTACTTAAGATCTTAAACCAAAAAGCTTTACAAGAAATTATGAACTGCAAGAAGAACACTTGAACACTTGCACTGTTGGGTTATTACCACTTGTGGGTTTTAATTGCCTGTAAAAGGGACACACAAAGTTGTTGACCAATTCTTGAGGAAACAGTTATACCATACTCTTATGAACTGTTTATATCTATGAAAAGATATTCAGTGCAAAGTATTTTTCGTCTTGATTCCTCTGATACTTGTGGTTAGTTTGGCATGATTCTTTGGCTAGCTGCAATTATTACAGATGTGTTTAGTTTTGTCATTGAAAAACAACAGCTATATAGCTATTGTTGTCCAGTATTTACATTTAAAATAGAAGCATTGTTACCTGCTATTTCCGCCATTAAAATAGAGTAACACTTCACTGGAAGCAGCTTTTGGTGAATTGTGCATGCTGTTTGCCTCTTTTTCAATCAGAATAAAAGAATATGGCAATTACCTGAAATTTCAACTCTACTGCATGAGGTAAATACAATGATTACCCACTCATGTGGGTATAAGAATAAAAGGTTTTTTGGTTTGTTTCGGTTTGTTTTTTTAACAAAGGAAAGCTAAAAATAGAACATCTTTTTACTGCTTTGAACTTAGAACACTGAAAATAATTTACAGCATAGGGAAAACAATAGTACTTAGCTCAATCTCCTAATAGTTCAAATAGCTATTTAAACACATTTGTATAGATGTTAATGACTTAATACTTGAATCAGGAATACTTTCTTCTGGTTCTTCCTTTGCCTTATCACATGCAGCTTGTGTAATTTTTTGCTGATTGACTTTTTAAGAAATACTTTCTTAAGTAATTTGCATGCAAAATACTGACACTCATCTGAGTCATACTTGGACTTCATTCTCCATTCATTTACCTCTTGTGCTGTGTTTATACCAAGATAGAGCTGCATGTAGAATTCTTCATTCATTATGTAAAGGTGTGATTTCAGGCCTTGATGATAAAGCTGAAGACCGCAGACATGTGTATTGTTTTGAATTCTTTGTGTTTCTTGAAACAGTTATCGAAAGATTCTGTTCAAAATTTGGCCTGTCAGGGTGGATTTTATAAGAGTGCTTCAGCTTTCACATTTGATGTGCCCTGCACTTCATCCATAATGCTACTGCTATTTGTGCAATTTCCTGCTTTTAGGTATCAGAGTAACAAATGGATTTAATCTAACTGGTAAAGATAAATAGTGTCAGCAAGTTCACTTAGTTTTATCTTGGTGTACATAATGAATCATAGGACATGACTCATTTTTGGCTCTTATACTTGCATCAAACTCTAAGTTAAGGGCAAGGACTCCATCAATCATCATGCTCCTGCAGAGAAATTCAGGATGAGCTCTGATCCTAATGTCAGACTTGCCCCAAGACAAGTAGCTCTTCCATACTATTTTCTACTAACATAATTTACTTGAATACTCAGATTGATTGTAGTTACAGACCTGACATCCCGTCAATAGTTTCTTTCTTCACCTCTCCCAGAAGAAATAGCTGAATTAAAATCACTTGATGCACTCTATGGACAGTATTGGTAGGAACCAGCCAGTTCGTATTGGAGCTGGCACCATTTTTCCCACAAGACAGTTACTCCATCTTTGGTGAAGGAAAACATACAAAGTGCTTTTGAAAGACGGGATTGGCATTTGTAGCTGTATTGGATGCTCAGACTCAGAGAGAAAATGGAGTGTGTTGGGTTTTCCTGGGTATATCAAGAGTTTTCACCATAGCCAGTCACTCTGGTGATTGAGGTGTTCTGGCCTACAGTCTGAAAGTCCTAGCTTGTCTAACCTTGCTAAAATTCTTTGTTTCGTGTGTACCAGTGACTTCTTTGGAAGTCTTGGTTGATTCAGGTAGTCAAGTTAAGCTTACAGCAACCACTCACCGTCTGTATTGCTCACAAAATAAGACATTTGTTTGGCAGCAGTTACGTGTGTAAATGCTCATCTGGTGTTTCTTGGTTCATTTTCCTTTCCTTGCGATAATTCTTAAGAAACCTTACCTCTTCCTTGCAAGACTGTTCCATGTGATAAAATTATCCTGTCTTGTTCCTTAAAATTACCAAGTCTTTTAGCAATTTCAATAAATAAAGGCCTGTCCTGAAGAGGTGGTAGACAAATAAGGGAAGGGGGATTTGCAGCAAGGTTTGTGTTTGATTACTTTTAGCTCCTGGTTAATGGTTGAACTCTGATTGTGCTAACACCCTGGAGTGTGTGGGAGTCCTGGGAAGGAAGGCGGAGGCTTGCCAAAATACCTGGAAGAACATTCAAAATAGAAAAGGAAGCATGGGAGTGGCAGAAGCAAAGGCTATCAGGAAGATATTAACTTTGCCCAAAGGCTGCTGTTGGCAAGGCAAGGAGAGACTAGGGGCAAGCAGCATCATGTGTGGCCCCTCAGGAGATGGTATTTTAAATTTACTGTACACCAGTATTTATAATTATAACCAATCAAACAAGCTTTGGTCCATTTTGCTATTCAGATTACTTTTCTTTAAACTCCTATTTAAAGATAAGGAAAAGTCATTCTTGAGTTACGTCCCCCTCTGTCCCAAATTGTTGCTTATGTAAACTGTACTGTTGGCAGTCGTAGAACAAAGACAAGGTTCATGACCTCCGCCAAAGGAGAGGCTGTTTTGCTGGGGATAGAATACAGAGAACTAAGGACAATTAAAATTTTTTAAACAGTTACTAATTACAAACATTTTTTGGAGTTCGAGTTAAGGAAGGAGACGCGTTTAGATAAGGAAACAATAGATGTTCAAAACAAGGCATGTAATGTTGCTGCTGCCCTCTCCAATTTGCTGAATTGTTTTAAAAACCATTTGTGCCATGGTAAGTATGCTATGTGATCAGTATTACAGTGAGTAATTTTGTAAGCATTGGTAGCTTCAAGATGTAGTCTCTTCTGGTAACCATCAATGTTCTCTCCTGTCCTGCTAAAAAACAGGAATACATTAAACATCAATGGTATCACTCCACATCATGTTAGAAGCCATTAACCAGGCACTGTAAGGCCACTGTTACAAAAGTAACTTCAGAAAAACATTTAGAGAACTAAGAGGTAAAGTTTTTAAACACTCAGTAAGGAAACATATACCCAGCACAGTGTCAACTGAGCGATCTGACACACCTGGAAGTAAGGCTGAATTTCCTTGGTTCTGCCTGAATGCAGTATTTTGTTATGTGCTGATGACTGAGCCTGTCTGTAGCTGAAGGAAAATGACAAGTTGCCTCTTTGGTTTTGCTGTTTGGAACTTTTAGGCTGCAGTTGTCACTTGAAGACTACAGTATGCCATGCACAGGCATGTTAATTATTAACTATTGCTACAAGGAGACTTTTTCAGTACAATGTCTGAATGCAGTTTCGTATTTGCTGTCAATAAAATGGGTTCTTTCAGTGCCCTGCCTTCCAAAGTCCATCACCTTCGTGAGGAACACTGTTTGCTTTCTTTATCTATAATTTTTGTATCAGGCATACTGCGCAAACGTCACCTGCACCTAACAAGGAAGAAAACAACCTGTATTAGAATGCTGTGGGAATCTAGAGTATTTAGTCTCTTGAAAAATCATCTGCCCTTTCTCACCAGCAACTAACAACAAGCCATGAAACTTGTCAGTAGGTTTGTGTCACAGGCCTGGTGCTGGGGGATTATACTGTTTGATTTCAGAGGGGCTTGTGTGGGGTTTAACCACCCAAGAGTGCAGATAAGGAATTCTTGGTGACATTTAGTGCTTTACAATGCCGAAGAAACACGACTCCAAAGAATCTTGTCAGGGCTGCTTGGCCCTGTCGTTCTCATTTCGGCTGCAGGACATCAGTGGTGCCAGAAAGCTGATACTTGTGGAATGCCAGCCACGAGTGCAGCTCCCTTTTATTAGTTAAGGTTTCAGGAACAGTATCGGTATGGCTCGCAGGGCGACTCTG